CGATGGCTGCGCTGGGCGGGGACGGGTTGCGCCTGCTGTCGGTGTCGCGGCCGGAGCGGCAGCCCGAGTCGGCGGCGCTGGGCGGGCCGGGCCCCGGGCTGTGCTGCTGGGTGTCGGTGTTCTCCTGCCTCAGCCTCGCCTGCTCCTACGTGGGCAGCCTTTACGTCTGGAAGAGCGAGCTGCCCAGGTGCGGGGGCTGCGCGCGGCCGGAACCCGCGCCTCCGCGAGGCGGGGCTGCGGGCGGAGCCTGGGCTGACGGCGGGCGGGCCCCCTGAATTTACTGTCCCCTCCGTAGGGACCACCCCGCCGTCATCAAGCGGCGCTTCACCAGCGTGCTGGTGGTGTCCAGCCTCTCGCCCTTCTGCGTGCTGCTCTGGCGGGAACTCACGGGCATCCAGGTGCGAAGGGGTGGGGCAGAGGGCCGTGGGGTGCGCTCTCAGGGGTGTCCGGGAGGAGCAAGACTGATGCCCCCTTTCTGTGGCTCAGCCAGGCACATCCCTGCTCACCCTGATGGGCTTCAGGCTGGAGGGCATTTTCCCAGCAGCACTGCTGCCCCTGCTGCTGACCATGGTGAGTGCTCCCGCTCGAGGTGCCCTCTGTGCCCTAGTACCAGCAGCATGTGACTTTCGCGGCCTTTTTTTCTCATCCTGATTGTGTCTGGCTTTTGGCTGATGGGAGACAAGAACTGTGAAGTGGCTCTCGCCTATGCATGTGTGGGAAAGCCTGGCTAGAACAGCAAGCTGGAAGCCCTGTGCCAGGTTGGAGGACTGTAGTGGAAGTCTTCCCGCTTGTCTGCCCCCAGATCCTTTTCCTGGGCCCACTGATGCAGCTCTCTATGGATTGTTCCTGTGACCTGGCTGATGGGCTGAAGGTTGTCTTGGGTGAGTCCTCAGGGCCAAGGAAACAGTGGGCACAGGCCTTCCAGCACCATGGGGAAAGGGATCCAGTGGGATGCAGCCAGGGCGTTGCTGGGCCTCTTGGTGTGACCTGGAAGTGAGACAGGAGATGTCTCTCTGGGTGTGTTTCCTTATCAGTAAAATGCAGAGTTGGGTGGACTCTGAGTGTTGGTTCCTGACATCAGAGGCGGCTCTGCTCGGCATCCGCGGCAGGTCCTGCTGTGGGCCCAAGGGCACTGCCCCCTGCCTCTCCTGACTTTTGGCTCCCCCAAACCAGAGCTGCTCTTGGGCAGGTTGATGTTGGTAGAGTTTATCACCAGCATCTCCTGCCTCAGCTACTAATTTTTTCTTCTGTCTTCTGGAGACTTTGTCTTATGCTGTGTCCAATAAACAAAGGACGATTTACCTTTCTTGGAATGTTGGTGCCTAACCAAGTTTGGCCAGGGAACGCTTGTGGGAGAGGGACGTTTGGGGCCTCAGTGTTGAAGAGGTAGTAGTGACTTGTTGCTTGTTCTGAATTCCCTCCCTAGCCCCCCGTTCCTGGGCCCGCTGCCTCACAGACATGCGCTGGCTGCGGAATCAAGTGATTGCGCCCCTGACGGAGGAGCTGGTGTTCCGGGCCTGCATGCTGCCCATGTTAGCCCCGTGTACAGGCCTGGGCCCTGCTGTGTTCACCTGCCCACTCTTCTTTGGAGTCGGTGAGTCTGCGCAGCTTGGTCCTGCTGAGACGCTCCCACGAGAGTCGAAGATGGGGCTTGGGAGGGGAGGGCCTAGGGAAGGCAGGAGGGTGTGACAGGCCTCTCACCTTCCTCCCAGCCCACTTCCACCACATTATCGAGCAGCTGCGTTTCCGCCAGAGCAGCGTGGGGAGCATCGTCTTGTCTGCAGGTAAGTCTTGAAGTCTGCCTAGGGCTGTTCTGGGTTAGGGGGCTTGAGGGTGTCCCTGATGGCCACTCTGGAGGAAGAACTGGGAGCAGGGCTGTAGAATTGGAGCAGCTGCTGGGGCATTAGTGCAGGGCTGCTGGCCATGGTGGGGTGCAGAGGACGGCTCTGGGCAGTGGGCAGGCAGCCACTGCCCTGGGGTGGGGGTGGCCTCTGGCTGGCGGGTGTGCGGTGCTGGGGCAGGAAGGGGGTGCAGGTGTGGTCACTTGCGGCCTCCCGTCTCCAGCGTTCCAGTTTTCCTACACTGCTGTCTTCGGTGCCTACACTGCTTTCCTCTTCATCCGCACAGGTGGGTCCTTGGGTTCGGGCTACAGGGTGGGTGGGTGGGAGATGGGGTGCACTGTTTATGACAGGTGCCATCACGAGACGTTTCTTCTTTGACGGTCCTCGAGACAGGCTGAACTGGGCGTTGGGCCTGAGAGGCAGAAGGAGCCAGAGGCTGGCGTGGGTGGGTGGGTGTGGTGGTGGGGTGTTGCCCTGTTTCAGGGGACGAGGGACCTTAGCTCTGGAAGGGTCCAGGGAGGAGGTAGGCCGCACCACAAGCTGCTGCTGTCTCCTTTCCCAGGACACCTGATCGGGCCAGTTCTCTGCCACTCCTTCTGCAATTACATGGGCTTCCCCGCTGTGTGCGCTGCCCTGGAGCACCCGCAGCGGCGGCCTTTGCTGGCCGGCTACGCCCTGGGCGTGGGACTCTTCCTCCTTCTGCTGCAGCCCCTCACGGACCCCAAACTCTACGGCAGCCTTCCCTTGTGTGTGCTCTTGGAGCGGGCAGGGGGCTCAGAAGCTCCTCTGTGTTCCTGACCCGCACTGCTGCTCACGCTCCACGAACTCTTAATGGGCTCCCGGCCCCTCCCTGCCAAGGGATCCTGCAGGGGCAGGGCTGGCTGGGGTCCCCGAGATCTCAGGAATTTTTTAGGGGATTGAAGCCAGAGCTAGTTGACTCCCAGGGACCAAGAGAAGGAGCAGACATCCCCAGGGGCAGCCCCGCTCAGAGGGGCTGAGGAGCAGCTGGGAGTGAGGGGACGGGCAGGTCCCGGAGCCGTGCCTCCCCTCACGTGGACTGTCTCCTTCTCTGAGGCCCTCCGCTCCTTCGGCCTCTGAAAAGCTGCTCGGGGGTACAATCTAAGACCCCCCCCACCTTCCCAGGGTTTTCTCATTCTTTTTGCATCAGGACTTTGTATTGGGATATTAAAGAGATTTAACTTGGGTAACACGGCTTTGGATCTTGGGGAATCAGCCTATTGGGGGGCCTCAGGAGTGTGCCCACACCTGTCCCCACTGCCTGAATGCTAAATGTCTGGCCGATCACCTGGCAGGCAGAGCTCCCTGGAGCAGGGGACAGGTGTGGTCTGTAATCCTCCCTCCTGAGACCTGTCCTGGCCCAGGTGGGTCTGAGGCTCTGCAGGTAGCAGGTGTGGGCCCAGCTCATCCTGCGGTCTTCTGTGGGGCCCGTGGCACTGACCCAGTGACAGAACTTCAGCCGGGGACTCCACCAGGACCTTCCTTTGTAGTCTGCCCCCTTGTTCACGCAGGAGGAAACAGGAGTGGCCCCTGCTCTGGGGCACCCTGGGTAGAGGGCTTTCTGATTCTCACCACCCCAGACCTCCACTTGCCTGGCCCCCCGAGACACCCGAACACGGGCTGGGCAGCAGCCTCGAGAACAGCAGAGCCTGCTGAACGGCAGCGTCAGGGTGCTTTCCTGGTGTGCCTCCCCACGGGGTCTCTTTCCCTGCCCGGGTTCTCATTCCCTGCCCAATTCTAACTCCCACCAACATCCTCACCCTCAGGCCATTCACAGTAATTTGCCATCTCAGTACACCCAGGGGGGCTCACCTGCCTCCCAGAAAGTGCACCTGTTTGTGTCCAGTTCTGAGCTAACTAACTGGTTTTTGTGCTCATGCTGGGGGTTGGCCCTGAGCTGTAGAAGGCAGAGTGGTCGTGGAGCCTGGTGCCCGGCAGCCTGGGCATGACTCTCCTCTGCCTCCCACTAGCTGTGGTGTCCCTGACGAGTCATTTCACCTCCTGCTCTGTAGGTCACGTGAGGACTCCTGAGTTACGTGTCAAGTGCTTAGAACAGCCCTCTCCTGCCCCCAAGCTCTCAGTAACAAGTAACTCGCCCTGTTTGGGGTGTGTATACAATAGGTACTCAATAGTGGCTGAAATCAAGGGCACTACTGTCATTGTCACCATCCTCCAAGCCCCCAGGGGTGCGAGAGGAACAGGCCCTCTGCGTCTGTTGGGGCAGGGGCTGCACAGGACCAGCCCGGCGCAGATAGGGCAGAGAGAAGTCAGCTTTATTGAACACGTTCCCAGGACCTGGGGCTGAGGTCTCCCCCCAGGAGTAGGACCCCCAAATCTCTCTCTAGGTCCTAGGTCCATTTCTCTACCATCTGTAGCCTCCAGTGAGGGGGGACCCTTGTTTGGCAAGAGATGAGCAGATGAGTGGTCCACGAGTGGAAAGGGACAAGGGCTGAAAGGTGGCTGGAGGCTGGGTCCCTCCCCGCCACCTGCGGCAGAGAACCGGGCCTCCAGGGCGGGGCCTGCCTGCCCTCCGTACCGGCCGGCCTGGGCCTGCCTGTAAGCACAGCTTCTGGGGAAGGCTGCGTCTGGGCATGGTCACTCGATCTCCAGGATGAGGTCGTCGCCCTCCAGTGTCATGTCCACGGCCACATGCACCTTGCGGACGGTGCCGTCCACGGGCGTCGTCACCACAGTCTCCATCTTCATGGCGCTGAGCACACACAGGGGCTGGCCCTTCGCCACCTTGACTCCTGCCGCCACCATGATGTCGATCACCTTCCCCGGCATGGGCGCCCCGATCTGGCCCTTCACGTCCTTCAGGGCCTTGGGATGGAAGTGCATCTCCTGCGAACGGGGCAGAGGAGGCGTGAGGCCCGGCTACGCACGCACGCACGCACGCACGCACGCACGCACGCTCACCCGCCCGCCCCGCCGCCGGCCCCGGGAGCCGCACCTTCATGGCCTGCGTGTCCTTGACCAGGATGGAGCGCAGCTGCCCGTTGAGCTCGAAGAAGACCTGCCGCTGGCCGGCGCGGTTCAGGTCGCTCACGGCCAGGGCCTTGATGTGCAGCGTCTTGCCCCGCTCCAGCTCCACCTGCGGAGGGCGGAGGCTCTGCTGACCCCTCCCCTGAAGTCCTCCCCAGTCCCGGGTCTCAAGGGTCCTTTTGGCCCCCGAAGCGGAAGGGGCTCGGGCAGGGTGGTGGGAGGGTGGCATGTGGGTGAGCACCAGAGCTGCTGACCTCAAATTCCTCCGCGATTTTGGGTCCCTGCAGGAAGAGGCGGGTGTTGAGGCTGTCCAGGGGGCCAAAGGTGGCAGTGAAGTCCTTGAAGTTGGCAAAGACGTCGGGGTACATGGCTGCTGAGAGCACATCCTCCGGGGTCACCTCCTCCCCGTGCCGCTCGATCAGCTCCTTCTCCAGCACCTGCAGGTCCAGTGGGGGCAGAGAGGCGCCGGGCCGCCCCTCCACCCTTGGCAGGTCCTTCAGCACCTGGGAGCAGACAGGAGTCAGGCCTGCCCCTGCCCTGGCCCACCCTCCAATGAGCCGGGCCCTGCCCACCTTAGAGCGCAGGGGCTCAGGGAAGCCTCCGTGGGGGACCCCGATGTAGCCCTGCAGGAACTCCACCACCGAGCGGGGGAAGGACAGCTCCTCCGCCTGGGCCTCGGCCTCTGCCCGGCTCAGCCCATTCTGCACCATGAACTGGGCCAGGTCCCCCACGATCTTGGAGGAGGGTGTCACCTGAGGAGAAGGGCCTGGAGGTGAGGTGCCAGGGGAGGCCCGGAGGCGGGAGGGCGGTGGGGTGGGAGCACAGGGCCTGGCTCACCTTGATGAGGTCGCCCAGCATCTGGTTGGCTTCCACGTAGGCCTTCTTGACCTCCTTGAACTTGGCGCCGAGCCCCATGCTGTGGGCCTGGAAGTGCAGGTTGGTGTACTGGCCGCCGGGGATCTCATTCTCGTACACGTCTGAGTTGCCGGACTTCATGGTGGCCGTGCAGTCAAAGGCTGAGTACAGTCCCCGGGCACCCTCCCAGTACTCACTGTAATCAAACACTCGCTCCAGGGGGACCCCTGTGGGAGGCTAGCGTCAGGAGTGGGCCCGAGGATGGGCTGAGCTCCCGGGCCCTCCTCCCAGGACCCCCAGGCCTGCTCAGGTCCCACCTCAGACGTGGGGATGGGGAGTGGTCTGTGCTGGTAAACCAGGGCCGGGTAGCCCTTTGGGCACTAGGATTGGCAAACCACAGGGCCTGGGGGGGGCTGCTGCTTTTGGAAGGGGACGCTCGTGGTTCCCACCATTCCCACCTGTGTCCAGGGAGCTCCCACGGGTGCAGGCCACCAGGGCCCCCATGCTGGGCTGTGAAGTCATCCCGGACATGGAGTCAGCTGCCACGTCCACCACGTCGGCCCCGGCATGGGCAGAGGCCAGCATGGCGGCCACGCCCGCGCCTGACGTGTCGTGTGTGTGGATGTGCAGCGGGAGGTCAGGGAAGCGGTCACGGAGGGCTCCCACCAGCATGGAGCAGGCCGCGGGCTTCAGCAGCCCCGCCATGTCCTGGGGGAGACAGGTTGGGTGAAGCAGGCAGGGCTGTGTGTGCGTGCTGAGGAGTGAGGGGGAGAAATGGGCAGGGGGAGACCCGGGGTGGGGCGGAGCCGTGCACCTTGATGCACAAGACGTGGGTGCCGGCGCGCACCAGCTCCTCTGCCAAGCCCATGTAGTACTGCAGGGAGTACTTGGTGCGGCTGGGGTCCGCCACGTCCCCCGTGTACGAGATAGCAGCCTCCACCACGCCCCCGGCACTCCCCGCTGCCTCCATGCCCAGCAGCAGGTTGGGCAAGTAGTTGAGGGAGTCAAAGACCCGGAAGATGTCCATGCCGTTCTCCTTGGCCACCTGGCAGAACCTGAGTGGGTGGGGACAGCCCGAGGGATTAGGCCCCCCACGCAGCCTTCTCTGCTCCTGCCTGCCCTGCAGCCCCCAGGGAACCGGAGGGCCTGGTCTGGTGGGGGCCTGGCACCCACAGAACCAGTGTGGAGGGCGCTGCATAAAGCCTGCTCCAGGGCCACCTGGACCAGGCCCGGTGAAGGATCGGCTTGGGAGCCTTTCCTGGGCAGGGCCACTGGGCAAGAAGCCCTGAGGCCTGGGTTCCGGGGCGGGGGGCGGGCACCAGGGCCCGCCCGACGCTGCGACCCGCGACCAGTCACCTCCCTCTTGGGGCCTCTACCGCCCATGAGTAAAATGATCTGGGCGTCCTTCCACTTCCTGCTGGGTGTGGCCACAGGGGCTGAACTCACTTGAAGACCACGTTGTCGGGGTAGTTGGTGTAGCCCACGGCGTTGGCCCCTCGCAGCAGCATCTGGAACGGGATGTTGGGGATGAGTTCACGGAGCTCCTGCAGCCGCCGCCAGGGGCACTCGTACAGGAAGCGCATCGCGACGTCAAACGTGGCTCCTGAGGGACCAGAGCCCAGGTCAGCGCCCAACACCCCACCTGCTCCTCAGGGTCCCCCAGGGCTTTCGGTTCTCTGATCTCTGGAGGCAGCTCAGACCCGCCTGTGATCTCCCTGCACCCCTCGTACAGGACCCTGAGGTGTGCTGTAATTAACAAACAGGCCAGTGGCTGCTTCCAGACCCCGAGCCTCCTGCGGACAGTGGCCTCAGCTCACCGCCTCACCCACAGCGGGCACCGTGAGCGAGTGCGGAGCGGATGCTGCCTCCCCCGGCTCACGCGTTAGCTCCCGATGCTGAGGTCTCTAGCTTTTCCTCCTGGAGTGTCCCAGCAGCCCAGGCCTGCAGCGCTGGCCGCACAGTGGGACCCCGGACGCGCTGTGCAGAAATTCCTGCCGGGCAGTGTCCAGCTCCGAGCCCCTCTCCAGCTCACCTCCCCAGTTCTCCATGCTGAAGAGGCTGCTGAAGTTGTGGGCAGCATAAGGGGCAATCTTTTTAAGGTCATGAGTGCGCACGCGAGTGGCCAGCAGTGACTGGTGGGCGTCCCTGAAGGTCGTGTCCATGAGCAACAGCCCCTGGTGGCTCCGCACGGCTCGGGCGAAGCCCTCAGGCCCCTCTCGAAGCAGGATGTCTCTGAAGCCAGGCGGGGGCGGGCCTGGGGCAGGCAAGGGCATTGGTACCCAGCCTGCAGGCCGCACCCTCCTCTCCACCTCCCAGCACTTGGCAGAGTCAAGCTCACCTACCTAGGGGCACTGTG